AAAAAGAACAGTTTCTGTTTTTATTGTCTTATCATTTTTTTGTGCCTAAATCTTATAACCTGAACAACTACTTTGAAGATAATGATATGCAACACATTAACTAGTCTTAATTTCCTATTATTTTTGTTTTGAAATTCTGTATCATTTTTATCATTAAAAAATCTATGTACATCCTCCTGTGTACTTTAAATCATCTCTAGTTTATTTAGAATACTCAATAAATATTAATATGTAAGTGGTACCCTGTACTGTTTAGGGACCAGTGACAAGGAGAAAAACTGCATACCATCCATACAGATGAGACATTGTAAAATGAGTGTTTGGGTCTGAAGTTGCTGGAATCCATGGGTATGAAAGCCTTGAGGTTACCGAGACAGGTTACATACAGGGTGGGTGGCCCAGCAGTGTGCTGACCCCAGTCCCCTGCCTCAGTGGCCCCATCTGGATGGTGAGAGGCTGCCTAGAGCTGACTTTGTATAAAGAAGTAGACTTTGGGAACAGCTGATTCATAGAATGAACTGTGGAAATTATTTCATGGTCACCAGGTTTGATGAGCACTCTCTTCTCTCTTAGAGATTCACACAGCCCACTGCCATATTAAACACCCAGAATGAGGAAGCCTTCTTAAATAAAATCCACAATTTCTCAATCCTAGGTGGGATAGAGTCTTTTTCTCTGGTTGTTTGCAATTCTCTCACTGAAACAGCATTTCATAAAGTGCGCCTTGGAAGACACCACATTGTTTTTATTCTCTGATGTAATTTAGCCAGAGCTAAATGCTTCCGTGATTCCAGACACTGAGGAGCCCTGGGTTGCTCAGTTCATCCTTCAGTCCCCATACAGGAGTGGATCTATGCAAGAGGCTGAGCCCGTGGACACTTACATCACGCTGCCATGCAACTTAGTAACAGGTATCTTATGGTTCCCACACACTCACTGGTTTTCACATGGCCTTGTAATTCTTTTCACAATACAGGTGGGCTAAGATTAAAGTATGTACACATTCACAGAGTTTAAATAGGCTCGTTTTTGTTTGTTCTAATTATATGTACTCATGTTCCCTGTTCAAAACTCTCCCTTTGCAGAGTTGCTGGGTTCTCTGGATCAAGGAACCTATTAAATCCCACCTCCAGGCTAATAGCCCATCTAAGAGAGTTTGTTCAAAATATTATAGGTGCAACTTTTTTTTTAAAAGCATGAATTTCACTTGTTCTTTCCCAGCTTCTCCTATTTAGCACCCCCCCCCCAGCCCTGTGATTTGAAGAGCATGTGTACTTTCCTTTCAGCGCCCCATGCTGGTTAGTCTTTGTTTGATTTGTGCTTTTCCTCCCCTCCGTGGTGTTCTGAGACACTCCTGAGATGCTGAACTGCAGGTCCCTGGGTGGGAAGTCTTAGGAAACCTTTTCTTTCTTCCCACGGCGGCTCTGCAGCTAAGAATTCTAAGGGCGCCCCTGATGAATCAGTCACTAGGAAGTAAGAAGTACAGAAGCCAAAATGCAGGACTTTTGTCTTTGAAATTTAAGGCAGAGACTAAGTGTGTTTGAAAAGCTCAAGTACTGAGCAGAAGTAGTTGTCATTCTATGGCTACCACGTCAGCAGAAGTCTGCAGTGGGATAGAGGTGAATGAACAAAGGACTTTTTCATTGAATGATCAAGAAAGAAAATGATTCATGCATACACACACATAGAGGACCAGCACACAAATAATAACTTTTATAAAAGATTTTTTTCACTTACCTTGTTCTAGTTCCCTGACTCCAAAGAGACTAACCTACTATCAGATTTACAGCCAAAAGAAGAACATAGATTTCCACAAAAGAAGTCCATATGGAAAGTCCCATATGGCTTAAACCCATCCCATCAGCATGTAACTTCTATGCACGCCTGCTGCCTTTCTCCAGCCAGCCCAGGCTGCTCTTCCCCAGGCTGAGGAGGACTCTTCTTCCCCCACTCCCCTTTAACAGGATGTTGGAGGTGCTCAGTCTCTTTCCATGACTTTTTCCATCTGTGAATTTATGGTGGGTCATAAAATAAGTTCATTTCCTTTCTTTATTTTTTCTTTGTATCTGGGATTGAATTCGCCAGGCAGGTGCATATACCACTGAGAGTAATTACCAGCCCCATAAATTCATTTTCAATCCCTGTATTATATTACTCTATACTTAAGACACATCATGTTTTAAAAGAATGACTTTATTACTCTACTCAAGCTGAGGAAGAATAACCTAAAAACTCCACTGTTTATTCTCCTTTTCATCACATGATTTAGAAGCTAAGGATGAATAGACCCAGGACCTGGTCAGAGTGACACCTCTTCTAGACAGATCCACAGGCACCAGCTCCATGCAGTAGCATTAAGAGAGAGGTTCAGTTCTCCAGTTCCATTAAATGAATCAAGGAGTCGACAGGTCCTCAGAAAAGGAGCTCAAGTGACTGTGAGCCGTGGCACAGGTTACGGTGCTTTCTGACTTTTGCCAGCTACTTGTGGACCACCCTGCTCTTCTCTGTAACACAGAGGGAAACTAAGCAAGCGCTACCCGCAACAGGTAAGCCAGGGAAGCATGTAAATGGCTGTGATTCATTTGAATAACAAGGAATCACTTGCAACTGATCCTTCCTCTGAATTTACTATGGTTAATGTGGGGGGAATTTTCACATTTCATAGCGATGACCCATTTGAAAAGGAAACAACATTCAAATAACTGTACAGTCAAAGAATGAAAATTTTAAAGATCAACTTATTGTTCTATGAAACAAACAACCATCACCAAAACAAAGACAAGTAGTGATCTTCAAGTCAAGAAACCATGCTTGAATAATGTCTGTCTGTTTAAGGGGGTACTATAGTGGGAAAAGACTTTCCCTAAACCTCAGTCATTCAACAAAATCCACAAAACTTCACATCTTATGAATAAATAACAGAAGAAATCACCTGTGGCGGTGGGTGAGCACATTTGGTGGGGAAAAATAAGTAAGCAAACTATACTCAGGTTAAAACCCACTTAGTAGCAGAATTTACACGTAATCAATATTGTTTATGCATCTTTTATAGGGATCTAACTGCAAATTACTGGGCAGATGTCTATTGATTAGTATTTTGTAAATACAAAAAAAGCAGAAGATAAGCTGTTTTCATAGGTTGTGCCAGCTCTTCCTAAATAGGCCAAATTTGTATGACTATTGCCCTATATCTTATTTCTGGAGTCAATATTGTCATAATCAGTATTTTTATATGTGTGTTGGAAATACAAAGCTTATAGAATCAAGACTTGCACTTTGCATCTCAAAATTACTATTGCAAGAGCAAGTTTAAGATTCAATTTTTTTTTTTTGTCTTTTTGAGACAGGGTCTCGCTATGCAGTTCAGGGTGGCCTTGAGCTCACTTTGTAGCCCAGGCTGGTCTCGAACTCTCAAGGATCCTCCTGCCTCAGCCTCCTAAGTGTTGGGATTACAGGCGTGAGCCACTACGCCCAGCTAAGATTCAATATTGAAACTCAATTTAAAGCAATAAAATGGACACAATAATAGTATTCATCTCCTAAGAACAGTGTGAGGATCAAAGTGAAAATCTATTTGAGTAGCTCTGAATAACACGTGGCATGTACATTATGCCACAATTTAGTATTATTATCATTTTATTGAGTCATTTGTAAATCTGTAGACAGCACCTTATAATTTCTTAAGCTTAAGCAAATATAACATACATGATGTTTTCTCTATCCTTGGTGATATCTTCATTTCAAGAGAATCATGAAATTTTCTTTCATTTGCGCTTCCTTCATTGCTGGAGCAGGAAAGTCTCTTATCAGAAATAACAATCCTAGCGTCCAAATTTCTTTGACTGTCTTTTAAATTCAAAACAAGAAAAAAAAAAAAAAAACAACCCTGGGTAAGTTTTCCCCTTGCTGTGTACCATCCATCCATCCAGCAGAGGGGAAACAACTGAATGTTGACATTTTTTGGCCCAGGCTTTACTTCTTTTACCCCTGAGCACGCTTGCCTTTCTCACCGTATAAGAGAAAAGTCAAAGGAGTAAGTGTGGAAGGCAGCAGTTTTAGGAGGCAAAAGGGTAAGTGTGCAAAACTGATGGAACAGACGGTGAGGTTACCTTCTCACACTTACCCAGTTGGGTGCTGTCTTTCTCCACGAGGTCACAGTCAGAGCTCCCCCTGCACCTCAGTGCCCCCTTTCTCATAAGACATAAACTGAGGCACAGTGTTGGCTTCCTTGGTGAAATGTGTGGTCTCAGGTGAAAAGAACTGAGTTAAACTGAGGTGTGTATGGACTCTTAGGACCCAGGCTGACTGGCCAGGCTTTGCCATGGGTAGACCAAAGGGAAGATGAAAATTTTACAGTCTTTATGGATTGTCTTTGGCAAGAATAAATAAATGAAAATTACATGACTGTCCACGTAGGTGTATATTCAATATCTGAGATTAGTCATTTGCAAAGAGTAAGATAACATCTGCACCTTAAGATTTATTAAAAGCATAACTCAACGACATGCCATCTTATGCCGGATTGGTATGTTTTTCTCTTTCTTGTGGATTGTGTAATACGCCCCGTAGACTTAGGTTTGGATAATGGAAATTACATTCTGACCCACTACAAAGAATCTGCAAGTAGCATTTGAATAAAAAAAATAGCATCAAGCAGAGGTAATTATTCTTTTAGTTCCTTTTTGGTGAAATGATTTTGAGAAGGGGCTTACTATTTCACACTAAATTACTTACTATTTCACCCCAATGGTGAACCTCTTCAAATGACCCAGGTAAGAACAGTAAACGCAGGGCTGGGGTGTAACTTAGTGGGAGATGGTGTGCTTTGCATGAACCAGACCCTTGGTTCAGTCATCAGTGCCACAATTAAATAAAGAACTAAAACCCTGAAAAATGCCGTAGGTTTTAGTTCCCTCAGATACTGTGGAGGTGGCTGAGTGCTGGATGGATGTAGCTGTTTGGACGTCATGGAGCTGAGTGAGATAATGTGGAAAGATTACCTGTCCCAGGGACTGCCAGTCCAAACCGGCACTGCCGATATAGACGTGCTGTTTGTCCACAATCCAGAAAGAGGACTGCAGCCGGCCCTTGTTGTAGGCGGTCATGTTCATGTAGGTCACCTCGGCTCCTAGGAGTTCAAGGAGATCCCAGTCAGCCTTTTGCTTCAAGGCCCCGCGTGGCAATCAACTATCGACCAGCAGCAGCGTTCGGTCTGCCACTGATCCCAACTGAGATTTGGGAAACCAAAGAGTCACATTAGGTACAGTGAAGGCTCTCCAGGTTCGCTTTTGTTTCCCTAGAGAAAACTAAACAACACCCGAAGGGCTCTTGCTCTGCTTACACAGGGAAGGCTCAGTACCAAGTCACCCAGGTCTGTATATAATTCCCACTCTAACACTTCCCATCTGGATGGTGAACTAAATAGATACCACACACCTCTTGTTCTTTTGCTTTAATAATACATTTATTACAACTCTGCAATCAACAGAATGATCTGTCTTGTTCAGTATTTCAACTTTGCCCATAAAGAAGTTGTCTTTCTTGTACTTTCTATGTATTATTTCACCCTTTCATCCTTTTACTTCTAATGTTAACTTTGCATTACTACAACCAAATACCCAAGAAAGATAACTTAAAGGAAGAATGATTTATTTTGGTTCACGATTTCAGAAGCTTCAGTCCATGGTCCATTGGCACCACGGCAAAGCATCATGGTATAAGGATGAGGTGGAACAAATTGCTCGACTCATGGCAACCAGGAAGCTGAGACAAGAGGAAAGAGCCAGAGAGGAAGTGGCCCGGGAGGAAGTTAGAGCCCTAGTGACCCAATGACTTCCTAAATCAACCCAGCTTCAAAACAATGAGGGTACATACTGAGTCCCACCCCTACACTTGCCTTTGCCTCTTTATCTCCCCCTTTATTATTTAATTTAGATTTGGTCTCTTCATAGCCTTTCTCTGTTTGATAGTGTTTAATTTAGGCAGAGATTAGTCAAGACCTACTGAAACATAGCCTTGAATGGTTAACTAGATCATTGAGGCCTTGTTAAATCAAAAATGCCTTCAAAAAGCTGAATGTGAGCAACTGTTTTAATAAGAATGTGGTAGAAGCTTTGTCAAACTTTTAAGCATTGCTGCGTTAAATGCGTTTAGAATCTCTGAGAAGCAGCACTGGGGCATTCAATGCTGGGTGATTTAAATACATTTCTGCTGCTAGTTCATTCTTTTTAAGAGAACAAAGCTATAGCACATGTTCACAATGACCTAAGGGATTCTGTAATCAGATATTCAATCTTAATGAAGACGATATATTCTAGTGACACATGGCACTGTCAGAGATTACCAGGACTACACAACAGGGTATGGATAGGGATGCTTCCTAGGATATTAGAAAGGAGAGAGAGATACTCATGCCATGAACTTAACCTTTAACTCGTGGGGAAAACATAAGCTATGATATTTAAGGGACTGGAGGTGTAACTCAGTGGTAGAGCACTTGCCTAGAGTATACAAAGTCCTGGGTTCAAACTCCAGCACTTCCGAGAGAGAGAGAGAGAGAGAGAGAGAGAGAGAGAGAGAGAGAACAGAGACACAGAGAGAGACACAGAGAGACAGAAAGACCCAGAGAGAGGAGAGACAGAGAGACAGAAAGAGATGCAGAGACAGAGACAGACAGAGACAGAGAGAGACAGAAACAGAGACACAGAGAGAGACAGAAACAGAGAGAGACAGAAACAGAGACACAGAGAGAGACAGAGACAGAGAGAGACAAACAGAGAAATCAAGGTGCTAGCAAATCAAGCTCCCTTCAAAGCCTGGGAGATCCCTTTCTTGCCTCTTCCTATTTAGTGGTCAGTGGCTGTCACTCTTTGGTGTCCTTGGCTTGCAGCTGCAGCACCCCAATCTCTGCCTTTTTGTCCCACAGCATCTTCTCCTTGTGTCTGTTTACTCTTCTTTCCAGGACTCTGGTCCGGTTGGATGAAAGGCCCAACCCACTGCGTATAACCTCATCTCAACTAAACACACCTGCAACTGCCCTGTTTCCAACTAAAGGCTCCTCACGAGGTTCTGGGAGTCTTTACCTATCTTTCTGGGACATGCTTCAACTTTAAATGGCCATGGTTTCCCATAGCAACACACTAGCCAGCAGTGAAGGGTCTTCTCTTATCTTTGCAAGGGAGAAAATGAAGGTGATCCTGGTGTTTACCCAGATTCTGCCTTAGGCACCTGCCTCTGGTGAAGTCTTCATTCTGCCTAGAAACATCCAGAACCACTGTGGCACTGGCTGGCCCTACTGGCCCGGGACTTGGCCTGATGACCCCTCGCTATCTTGCGTCAGACTGATCATTGGTTCCTAGAGTTCTGATCTGTTCTCTCAGCCTGCAGTGGCTGCTCGCGGCCCACTGGAATTCTGCCTTTTGACTGCTCCACCCGAAATTGCATATCCCTGGCCTGAACAGTTGTCTTGTTACTTCACCATGCATTTTAGCCTAAAGAGGTCAATTTCTGGGATCATGGGTCTCAAAATAGCCTCAAAATAGAGCCTCTGTAGCTACTTGTTGATACCTAAAACTACTATTTTACAAAAGAACCATGTTTCCTTTCAAAAAACTCTTTTTACTTTTTCTTTTCAAAATCTTTTTGAGAAACAGTCTTGCTATGCAGTTTAGGCTGGCCTTGAGCTCACTTTGTAGCTCATGACCAGGTTGGTCTTGAGCTTGCAACGATCCTCCTACCTCAGCCTTCCAAGTGAGTGCTGGGATACATGTGTGTGGCTTCCTTTCATAAAACTTTTACTGAACATATGACAGAATGTTATGCTGTGTAAAATTAGGGGTTAAAAATGACTGGTTGAAATTCAGGTTCACTAACATGTTCAGTTCCTTTGGGGTACTGCAACAAAATATAAATTGGGTGGCAGATTTGGAGACTGGTGAGAGTTCACTTTCTGAGGGTGTCTTCCCACTGTGTCCTCACATGGAGGAAAGGGCAAAGGGTGTTCTATGGTCTCTTCTTTTAAGGGCACTAGACCTATTCATAAGAATTCCCCGTTACGACCTAGGACCTAGTCACTTCCAAAGGCTTCAAGTTCTAATGCTATCTATTAGGGTGTTAGGTTTCAATATGCAAATTCTATAAGGATACAAACATCTAAACCATCACTGGGTAACCTTTAAAATAATCAGGAGCAACTCACTCAGGACATCTCCCATTTCTTGGGAGCAATTTTGATTCTCCTGTAGAAACAGTAATATTTCCTACTCTTAAAGGAAAAAAAGTAACCAGGATCTGCTCCACCCTTGACGTGCAAACAAGTAGTGGACAGAGATCAGAGGAGGAAGTCTTCCTCATTGCATTGGGGAAAGCCTTGGCTTCACAGTTCTGCTTGGGGCATGAGATGCCCATGCAAAAGCCAGCAGAACTGTGTGCAGAGATGAAGCAATATGTTATAAGAGTAATTCCCAGGGTGTGCCCAGGACCAAGAGAGCTATGCCACAACAGCCTCAGCTGGTACATCTTGCATTCCCTCTTTTATCATATGCTCATCCCTACACTTCCATCAATGACCAACCGCATATGACACAACCCTGGCCCCCTGAGATTATGTCTGCTAGGGTTATCATAGCCGTCACTGTGAAAGAGCACTCTATGATGTTTGGACGGTGACACAATCAGACAATGACAGATGTCCTTGCACATTAAGCTGCCCACATGGACTAAGGAAAGCCACTGAAAATACTTGATGATCTATCTGGGAAACTACTTTTCGGCATATAGTTCTGAATATCTTTTCCCAAGTAAGAATTATTTACTACCTATTTTTGTGTCTTCCATCTATTTCTGAAGGCTTACATTTTCATCTTAACTGACACCTCGATACCATACTCTTGATCCTATCAAATATGTTCCTCAGTTATTACCTGCATATTATTCAATATTTTACTTAAGAGAATTTTTATTTTCATAACTTCCAGAATATCTTTGTTGGTTAGTTTTAGAACAACTATATTTTCCAACAACTTTTCATTTTTAGCAAGAAAAAAAATCTATGCCAGCTCCTCTGTGTGCAGCCTGTGACCCACTGAGTAAAGACCCAGGGTGTCACCTGGGCGACATGCGTGCCAGGGGTGCGCGCTGCCTCCGGTCCCTGCTGACGCCAGGCAGAGCGGCGGGTGCAAGCAGCCCTCCTGTTCTCTGCCTCACACTCCACTTGCTGGGCTGATGATTAGTAGGTGTTATTAGTGACTCAAAGTCATATTTTTCAATGCCAAAAGTGATAAATTAAGAGTGTGTACTTGTTTCTATAATTTCTTGATAATGTATTTTCAAGATACCTAGCAGCCCTAATTAAATCTTAAACAAAAGACCAAGCTTCCAAGTTGGAAATGTCAGTCTCCACGTGTGTTTACCTGATGGCGGACAGAGGCAGAGCAAGACAGGGGGGCAGACAACCCCAGGATTTACCATCTGCTTGGAATTCAAAGATGACAACTCTTAAAATTCCAAATTACTAATTTTACCTCTTTTAAGCATATGCTTAGTTGAGATAACAAAGACTGCTCCTACTTTTAGCGAGGTTCTCTTCCCTCACTGATTATTCTCATGGCATTAACTAAAATACGGCATCTTGTACATATATCATATCAATGGGAAGAATTTTAGTGCTTCACTGAAAGTTAGCAGATAAATAAAAACATTCACTAAAAAGTTATTCATTAAATAACAAGTTACCAAAGGAAAAAATGCAGTGCCACAATGACTTGGAAATTACTGTTTTTTTCTTGGAGTACCGAGCTGGTTGTACATGAAAACAAAAATGGTTACTCCAATCTAACTATATTTTCAAAGATGTTATGAAATGTATTTAGTTGAATCAAAATAGGTTTAAAGATATTTTATAATTATATAAGTATGATATTTAAAGAAGCAATTTAGTAGTACTGCAGTAAGGGACATATTCAAGATATTTTGCAATTAAATATATTGTATAGTAAAGATGTGATTCTAACACTCTTTAGTGTGTATGTTTGCATATATATATATTTTTAAATGGATATATTGTTGGGTGCCTTCAACTAGAAAGACTTTACAATATTAAAGTTGCCTATCACAGATACAGTCTATTTC